GGAGTACTGCATAATTTGTTTTAAAGAATAAGAAAATGGCATCCTTAGCATATGTCCATTCATAAATTTCATGTATGAAAGAGAAGAAATATCATATCTTACCGTCTCAGTTATCAAAGTGTCGTAAATTCTTGTGGCATTCCATAATCGGCTACCCATGCGTCGAGCAATATCCTGACCCATTTCTCATATCAAATCATGCATCTCTAAGTAGTTTCGAATGACAACTACGAGACACTTATCCATTAGTCGATTTATTCCCATACTTGCAGCAAGACCACATCCATTTAGTATATTTGCTACCCAATCTTTACATTGTCCTTTGAAGAAACAAGCAATATCAAGAAATATATCCTTCTCACTTGGTTCTAGCGTTAGCGTTATCCGTAACTTTATTTCTAAGACTTCTGAATCTTAGAATCAGGCGGTTTGGTTCTAGCGTATCGTAACTTATTTCTAAGACTTTCTGAATCTTAGAATCAGGGGTTTGTTTTAGTTTATCCAATACATTTTCCCATTCCTCTATACGCCTTTTGCATAGATGGGAACCCAAAACTTTAAGAGCTAATGGAACGCCATTAGCATAATTTACTGCTCTTTCTGACAACTCTACAAAATCTTTTGGAGGATGCTTTTTTTTAAAGGCTTTCATACTTAATAATTGAAGAGCAATATTTTAATCCCTCAACCTCATATATTTCATCAACATGGTTAAGTACTTCTTTGTCCCTGCTAGTTACAATGACTCTACTACCAGGACCAAACCAATCATGATTTCCAGCTAAAGCCTCTAATTGCTCTGAATCATTGACATCATCGAGAACAATGAAAACTTTCTTTGTCTAAGCATATCCAAAATAAAAGTTGGTATAACATGATACATATCCATGCTTAAATTTTCATTTTGTAGAAGTTTGGAAAAGAGACATTTTCGCAATTGAACTAATCCATCTTTTTCTGATTTTTCCCTAACATTGCTCTCAAAGCAGAAATTATCAAATTGATCAGATATTCGACTGAGAAGAACTTCAGCAATGGTCGTCTTTCCTATACCTCCCATTCCCCAAATTCCAATAAAACGAACATCTTTTGAACCAATACTTAACAATGACAAAAGTTTGTTAATGTGTGAATCAATCGCAGATAAGTCAGTGCAAGCACTGAAGTATGCAGGGTATAATTTATTCAAAATTTGGTTGACTATTGCCTCACTCAATTCCGATTCAGTCCTAGGGCTCCTAGCAAAGTATGACAAAACAAAAACACATATTAGTTGGCTTCCAAATTAAAAACTTATAACATAAACTTAATACAATGTGCAAGAACAATTTTTAATTTTTTTTAAAACAAAAAGTATCAGGAATCGAATGTTTCTTTTAATTAAAATTAAGAAACAGGTAGAAAGAAAGGGCAAAACAATAATTCATGATTTGTGGTTTGACTCTAAACTATCAAGTGCCAGATACTACCCTGTTTGAGTGCAGATGTTTTGGATTGTAGGTCTATTGATTGGATTATTCTCAAGGTCATAAATAACAGATAGGCTATAAAAACATAATTTTATGTAAGCAATTCTTCATAAACAAAATATAAAAAAAAAAAAAAAAGAAAAAGTATTCCTAATTTTACCTGTAATTGTTGGAATCCCACCCAGATAAATTGGCTGCTTGCCTTAAAGCAGAGATCCACGTCTCAATTTTCTCTACGTTCTCCTTGAATTTTTCTTTAACTTTTAGAAATTCCTCCCCAAATTTTCCAATTTGATTTCTAACGTCAGATGGGTCTACGATGGGTCTACATGATAGAAAACTGGTAAAACCATTCGTTCCATTGAATCCATACAGTCCATTATCTTGACCAGTTCATCCAAACACCAACGAGAGGAGGCATAATTTTTGGAGAAAATGATAACTGACATCTTTGATTCTTCAGTGGCTTTCAAAAGCGACCAAGATATCTCTTCTCCTCTCTCATCATCCATAAATGTAGTGATATGCTTTTGCTTTAAAGCAGCATAAAGATGGCTAGTAAAATTTTTGCGGGTATCAATGCCTCTAAAACTAAGGAATACATCATAGTTTGTTTTAGGGAGAACGGTGGAAGACAAAATCAAAGACATTATGAGTCTTTGACAGTTATGTTGCTCTGTTTGTTCGCTAGAAGAAAGAAGTAATGGATAAAAAGATGACTCTGAAACTTGAAGAATTGCTGGAAGATCAAGGAAGAAGAAAGTTTAAAGATCCCTATATATGTGATCAAAATAACCTCAATTGATCTCCCCCTCCTTTTGTGTTTAAAGAAGCATAGGACATGAGATGCACTCGCATGTAGAATTAGAATTTTTTTTTAATTTTTTTTTCTATAAACCATCCGATTCACGGTAAAGCTTTTTATCAATCTTTATTTACGTGTTAGTGGAATGCAGCCGAGTGCTCTTTTCTAAAATTAAAAGCTTCAAAATGTTAAGAAAGATACGAGAGTTTGACGATAATAATAAATAAATAAATAAATAAATATAAAGTTACAGCACCGACGATAATAATAAATAAATAAATAAATAAATATAAAGTTACAGCACCGACCAAGAAAATATATAAATAAAAGTTTGCTTTCAGTCTTTTTTTATGTGTGCATGTCCGACCAAATGGGCTAGCTTCCAAATAAATTAGTTAAAAATTTTATTTTCTTTATATAATCTATATGTTTGTTTTTTTTCAAACCTCAATTTTCTTTTCCGTCTTTGTTGACATGTGACTGTTCGTCCAAATGGGCTAGATGTCAAATGAATTAGTTAAAAATTTTAATTTTCTATATTATTAATATTTATTTTTTTTTCTAAACTCTAAATTTTTATTTTTAAGTGATGTTTGGTTGGTGATAGGAACAAATTATTAATTTATACCGAACAAGTTTAAAAAACGAACAATATAAGAACCGAGTAACTAGTTAAGACCGAATAACATTCATATTCGATTAAGAATAAAGTAACCTCAGTCAAAAAATTATTAAAAATCATTAATTACTAAAATTCTCTCTCAGCATTCATAACGAAGATTCTTACCATAAACATACATAGTTAATTACAATTCAGGATGTATTATAAATGCTCATCTGAAAACCTAGAAAGAGTATTCGATACATAAACAGCAATCTTGACATTTCTTTACAATTTTCTGAGTTTAACTCTGTCAATTGGGATAAGTAGATTAAAAAAGTATAATTTTGAAGGAAATGTATAAAGTATTTATGTTTTATTTTTTTTTTTTTTTTTTTTTTTTTTTGCAAGTAACGTTGAATAATCTATTTCTCGAAAAGTAAAATTAATAAATCAAATAAAACACTTTATACCTTTCCTTAAAAATTATATTTTCTTAATCTACTTATCCCAACTGATAGAGGTAAACTTTTAAAAATTTCTGATATCTCTCATTATTCTTTCCTAGCTTAGGTCATTTATATAAAATAATCTCTTCGTTATTATGGTCATTACTCTCTACTCTCTTCTACAGTATGATGAAAGTTAATATAATACAATCTTTGGGGGTTATATTACTTGTTCTGTTATCGTATCTCCTTCCTCAGTTTCTGATTATTTGGGAAGCTGACAGGGCAAAGATCATGAGCTGGCTTGGTAACACCACCTCACTAAAGATAAGCAACATTTTGGTAATTTATAGACAGCAAAGCAAGTTTAGGATTTCTTGGCTGCTACGAATTACTGATCAAAGCTCCCAGTATCAGATTGATCGAGAACTCCCCCGTCTGCAATAACTTGCTTTCTTCACCATTTGCCTCTGCATAATTCATTAGTTTCTCCTTGTCCCTGCAACCAGATTTAGTACGGCCAAACTACTTGCAATTGTAACATTGGATGTTACTCTTGTTACCTTTCTGCTCATTGTAATGTCGTTGGTCATAACCTTTGCCCACGACCGCCTTTTCCATGAAAACATCACTGCATCGTCCTCTTCCTGCTGCCTTACCAGATTCAATTGAGGTGCACACCCCTTCCCTGGAAAGGCTTTTTCTTCGTGTTTTTCAGTTATCCTGTTCATCCTTTCTTCATGCTTTTCATCAAATGAAAAGGCTGATAGGTCCTCGAACTCCTCAATTGCAGCTACAACGTGATCAAACTTAGGAGTAAGACCCCTTAAAACCTTTGCAAAAATAGTTTCATCACTTATTTGATCTCCATATATATGAGCTCATCTAACTAATGATTGCCATCACTCTAGATAGGAAATCTTGCACTAATTCATTGCCTTTCATAAGCAAGGTTCAAACTCATACAATAGAGTTTGGACCTTCACGGCTATTACTTAATTTGGATTGGCCTTGAAACTCAGTTTGCAAAGTTGTCCATACCCGCTTCGAAGTAGTTGCTGCTGCAATTCTTGAGAAAATAATCTCATGCACTATTTGCTGAATGAAGAATAAGGCTTTGGAATACATCATTCGATTTTCCCTCAAGCGATTCTTTTCTTCTGGAATAGTAAACCCATTCTCTACTAAGTCCTATAGGTCTTGAAACTTAAAATGGAGTCATCAATTTGATGCTCCAAGCCTCATAATTCTTTCCTTTGAAAACGCGGATGGCTGGTTAGGCAACGTTGGGTGAATTAATTTGATGCCATGGAGCCTTATCAAGACTTCTGATATACCCTTGGTGAGCAACAGAATCTGGGGCTCTGATACCACAAATGTTGGAAATCAAAGCAGCAGAGTATTGAATAAAAAATAGTTTTAGCAGAAAAGAAAGACTCAAATTTGCTGAGTTATTTGAACTGAATGCTTCAATGATAATTGCAGAACAAATGTTGCTTATAAATAGGCAAACAAGAAAACTTAAATAGCTACAAATACTCCACCAACACTAGATATTTCTCCCACTAGCTATAGACTTATTCAACAACCAAATAACTAGAAATTCAAGGAAAAGACAACTGCACTAACTCAAGAAAATATAAAACAAAACAAATATTATTTTGACCAATTTTGAATTAGTCTTCAACAAAATATATATTGATTGGCGTCTACTAAGGTTTCACTTTTATTTTCCATCAAAGGCAATGAGTGCTATTGAGCACAACAAAAGAATACGACGACAACAAACAGTGAAAGATAGAGTCATACTCATAGTCCAGTTGCTTGCCATAATGGCAAAAGTAGAAAAACAGGACATGCTATGGTCACTTTCCGGACAAGAGATTGAAATAATCATAAGAGCAACAGAGTCGATCCCTTTAAACATTAGAAGAGGTAATCATTCACAAAGCAAAATTGCTTGCTTTAATCTTTTTGGGTGAGGTTCCTCTTCCACATAATCAAACATGCCATCTCCAATGATATCAGTTTGATTAGAGCAGTAGTCTTCCCTGCTTCTCCGCTTGGTTGATCCACACTCTACGGAAATTTTGTTTTGGAGTCTGTTACGCATCCGTTTCCCCGGCATCCATTCAGCATACCGTAGTTGTAGACCACATCCATTCACCTTTAATTTCCCCTTGTTAAATCCTCTTGCTTCTGCTTTGAACTTGCATAAGCCCTCATTGACTTTGTTTCCTATGAGCCATTTCCTTAAATTAAGATTAGCGTGAAAATTATCGTACCAAAGGAACAAGTGATCTGAGTGAAGAATGACCTCCAAATGGATGGTGCTACTTCTGAACTGAACTTTCCGGCCACCGTTATCACTCTTTTGAAATGACATTCACATGTAATGAAGAAATCATCACATTTGTTAAGAGGAATATCAAATTCTATAACAGCACAAAAAGTAAAACCTAAGACATCAAACCAATTGGGAGGGAACAGGATAGAAAATGAGGATCCTTGGCCTTGATAACTAAACCACTTTGGGATTCTGCTTGGAAAACCAATAGTATCCCACTCCGGAACTTCATTTTTGAATAAACAAACAACAGCATCCCACTCTGGAATTTCACCTCCGGGTAAACCAATGACAATATTCCACTCTGGAATTTCACCTTCGGGTAAACCAATTACAATATCCCCCTCTGAATTATTTATTGCGCGCCTATGAGACTGTCGTAAAAAAATTAAAATGAATAGGCAAGAGGTCAAAGAAAAAAAAAAAGATATCATTAGGTAGAAAGAAAATTTTGGTCTTAATAGAAAGAGGTGAAAGAAAGAGGGGGAAGAGGCTTACCAAAGCAGTACCAAATGCTATTTCTTCAATTCTCTGACGCACATCTTCCACAATCTTGCAGCGCACATTCTTGCTCAAATTTATGCAATTACAATAATTAAATAGATATTTATATGGCCAGAATTTTCTGAGATGTCCAATGCATGCAAAGGATGATGATGATTCTGCAGTTTTGACTGATGTGCAATTTACTGCTTGGAGTTCCATTAGTCGGCATGGAAGCTCTGGCAAACCTTGGAGTTTGTCACAGTTATTTAGATTCAGCACTCTTAATGAGGCCAGAGAAACTATGTCACTGGGAATTTCTTTTAGCCTACTGCCATCTAGATATAGCTCTTCTAAAGAATACAAGCCATATAAAGGTGGCAATTTATTAAGCTTTGAGCATCCACTAAGAACAAACTTTTGAAGCAATTTCAGCTCACAAATACTACTTGGGAGACTTTGGAGCCTCTCACGATTCTTCATTTCCAACTCAACAAGAGAAGAGAGATATTGTATGGATGAGGGTAATTCTTCTATTCCAGTCTGATTTAACATTAATACTTCAATCTTTCCAAGAATCACAGGAAATTTTTTGAGATTCAAGCAGCCTGTGAGATTAAGTATGTGTTGCTTAATAACGTAATTTAAATTAAGACAACGTGGAAGACTTCGTAGGTTTTTGCATTGCCACATACTTAAGTATTGAAGATTGTCAAGAACTTGAACATTTGGGGAGAACTCTTCCAATCCAGACCTTTCTAGTTCCAATACTTGTATGCTTCTTGGAATTTCTAGAGCAGTCTTCAAGTTTGAGCAGTAAGAAAGACGGAGATGTGCAAGAAGACGGAGATGTGCAAGAGATTTCAACTGAATGAGGTTTGGAAGAGTTCTCAGCTTTTCACACCTGTATAGATCAAGATATTTGAGCTTAAGGAGGCACTGAATCGATGAGGGAATCTCAATCAAGCTCATACAAAGCCCAAGAATTATCCACTCCAAATTTGTTGCTGAAGAGAGATTTGGGAGCCTGGTTAATTGCATGCATCCAAAAAGATTGAGATATTTTAATTGCTGAGGACACTGCAAATGAAAAATATTGTACTGTCAGTGTCTGAACAAATTAAATTGAGAACGAGGTTTGAAAATTTTGGGCAAATTAATATCTTGAATTCAATTCCCAGGACAGGTGGATTGAAAAATATATTCTTACTTAGTTTATTCTGAGATGTTATTCTTTTCTATTAATACAATAATAAATAACAAGTGATAAAAGGATAAATTTAAAGCATACCTTATCTCCAGTCCAAAGTTGTTCAATCCGACTCTCTCGCAAGTCAAGTTGAACAAGGTTCTCCATGAAAAAACTTGAAGGCATAGATTTGTAAGGGTATTCTTCCCAATGAAGTAAACTCAACTTGTTAGAAAGATATTGCAAATAATTCGATTGAGGAGATTCAAGCATGAAGCCAGTATCCTTGTTTTTAGAACAGTACTGAGACCTAAAAAATATCAGCGATCTCAAGTTAGGCATCCATGAGAAGATTGCATGATTCAAGTGTACCTTTCCCATTTTAGACATGTCCAAGAATATGCCTTCAACTGCCTCTTTCATCTAAAAAACAAGAGTAAATAGCAAATAGCAATTAGCATATAATATAAAAAGTCATATGTGGATATCTAAACTTCAGCAAATTCATAAGACCGATTCGATATGGGATTAAACATAACAAACAAAGTCTCCAATTTTATACATTTTATACTTATTTTTGATTGCTTAGTCTATAAGAAAATCAAGTATGCAGTAGAAGTTGTATAGTAATAAAATAAGGCTAACCAGAAATAAGCGGTAATTCATAACTTTTAATTCTTACTAAAAAGAAAATAATATCATCCTGGTATTTCAATTCAAATATCTACCAAAATAAAACAGAGGAAATTTCATTTCATACCGTCTCAGTTGTCAAAGTATCACATATGTTCTTGGGATTCCATAATCGGCTACCCCTTCGTCGAGCAATATCCTGACCCATTTCTTGTATCAAGTCATGCATCTCTAAGTTGTTTTGAACAATGACTACAAGACACTTATCCTTCAGACGATTTATTCCCATGCTTGCAGCAAGACCACATCCATTTAGTATGTCTTCCACCCAATCTTTATCTTGTCCTTTGAAGAAACAAGCCACATCAAGAAATATGTCCTTCTCATTTTGTTCTAGTGTATCATAACTAACTTCTAAGATTTTCTGAATCTTAGAATCAGGGAATTGTTTTAGTTTGTCCAATACACTTTCCCATTCCTTTGGAGACCTTTTGCATACATGGGAACCCAGAACTTTAAGAGCTAATGGAACACCTTTAGCATAATTCAATACCCTTTCTGACAACTGTATAAAATCTTTTGGAGGATGCTTTTGCTTGAAGGCTTTCATACTCAATAATTTAAGAGCATCACGGTATTGTAAGCCCTCGACCCTATATGTTATGTCAACTCCATTGTCAAGTACTTCTTTGTCTCTACTAGTCATAATAACTCTACTTCTAGGACCAAACCAATCAATTATATTGTCCAGCTTAAAGCCTCGAATTGATCTAATCATAACATTCATCAAGAACAATGGAGAACTTTTTTTCGGACTAAGCATATCCAACAATAGTGAAGTACTGGTAACACATTTCCAGATTCAAATTTTCATTTTGTATTTGTAGAAGTTTGGAAAAAAGACATTTTCGCAAGTGAAATAGTCCATCTTTTTCTGATTTTTCCCTGATATTGCTGAGAAAGCAACAATCATCAAATTTATCAAATATTCGACTGAGAAGAACTTCAGCAATGGTTGTCTTTCCTATACCTCCCATTCCCCAAATTCCAATAAAGCGAACATCTTCTGATCCAATAGATAACAATGACAAAAGATTATTGATGTGTAAGTCAATCCCAGGCAAGTTACTGCAAACACTATAATATGCAGGATACAATTTCTTCAAGATCCGGTTAACGATTCCCTCACTTAATTCTGATTCATACCTAGCAAATATGATAAAGAAATTGAATAATTTGTGTACATTTATTCAATTAGAAAATGATGTATATTGTTTTTATGAAAGGTGTTACCTGTAATTGTTCGAATCCCATCCAGATAGATTGGCTGCTTTCGTCAAAGCAGTGATCCACCTATCAATCTTCTCTGCATCCTCCTGAAATTGTTCTTTAACTTTTCGAAATCCGTCTCCAAAATTTCCAGTCTGGTTTCTAACATCAGAAGGGTCTACACGGTAGAAAATTGGTAAAACCTTCTGTCCAATTGACTTCATGCACTCCATTATCTTGACTAGTTCATCCAAACACCATTGAGAGGAGGCATAATTTTTGGAGAAAATGATGACTGACATCTTCGATTCTTCAATAGCTTTCAAAAGATTTGGAGATATCTCTTCTCCTGTCTCAAGACCAGTATAATCAATAAATGTTGTGATATGCTTTCGCCTTAAAGCAGCATAAAGATGGCTAGTAAAATTCAAGCGGGTATCAACACCTCTAAAACTGAGGAACACATCATAGTTTGTTTTAGGAGGGACAGTGGAAGATGATATTGAAGACATTTTTTATCAATATAACAGTGGAAGATGATATTGAAGACATTTTTTATCAATATAACTTCCTCTATTTGTTCGCTAGAAATGACAAGCGCCGGTCAAAGAGATGACACTAAATTTGAAGAATTGCGACAAGGCCAAGGATGAGGAAGAATGTTAAAACGACTAAGAGCTTTATATGTGTCAATATAGCCTCATAGATTATCCTTTTCCATGCTTTCTGGGATGCTTCAATGAAATTACAGAAGTGCGGTGCTTTCCACAAAGAAATTACAATGAACATCACTTTGCTACGTAAAGGTGAGGCCCAATTGCACTTTCACTCGTTAGATGAAATTTATTTATATTTTCATTCCATCACTTCTAATGATGCTTTGTGAAGCAAAATTCAAAATATGTTCCTTTCTAATTTAGTATTCAGTAATAATTGAATTAGTGGAACTCTTTGTCAACAGGCAGAGAGCATAGTTATGACTTAAAAAGAAAAGTTGAAGGCCAAATGCACTGAAACTGGAAGCCTGCATGCTTTTGTTTTTGTTTATTGCGCATAAAACTTTAATTTTGAATTCTAGCAATAAAGTATTTGACACACGCTCAAAATCACCACACATAGCCATTTGCTTGTGAAGCTGAGGTGACTGTACCAAACATGCAGGTTGTCCTTTGTAGTCCAGCTTAAATACTGCAGAACCGCCTTCACTAGAGCCAGCAGTCAACTTTGGGGTGTGTATTTCACGAAAGTCTTCTGATTTTAAAAATGTCCTAAATATCTGCACATTGATACAACTTGTTTCAGAAGGATGATTAGCAAGTAGAAATGCCAATTATTGACAATTAAAAAAAAAAAAAAAAAAAAAATTCAACAAAAAGAAATTCAACAAATAGAAAAGGAATTTGAAGTGTTAGAGAGAGAGAGAAAGGGATAGGTCAGGAGTAGAAGGAGAAGGCAATTGGAGTTTATGCCTGACACGCCTCTACACTGCTCTAGCATATTCCTTACCAACAATTTTCTTTTCTCATTCCCTCTAGCATATTTAGTATCATGCAATTTCTTTTTTTTTTTTTTTAATAGCCAATTAAAATAGGGATATTTAGTATTATTAAATTAAATCATAATTATTTTTTTATTTATTCCGGTGTTTTTCTATTTATTTGTACTTATACTCTAAGTTTTAATTTTTTAATTGTACAATGTATGGTTATTCATATATAATTGTTTAAATATTAATAATTTATTATCATAATAAAATATTTAGTCTTTAAAATTTTTAATTGAGTTAAGATATATAGAGTTCCGATATTAATCCTTGTAATCCTTAAAATTTTTGCTATCAGGATTCCTATTACGAGCTATAAAATAAATATTCTTATTTAACTAGTTCTCTGCCTGTCTCGGAAATAAAATTAAAAATGCTTCAATGGATGTACCAGCAACTCAAAGGATTTTTTTAGTGTGAAGTTTCCGTTTGGGACTGGGAGAAGAATGAGACTTCTCGGTTTCCCTCAATTGCAATCTCACGATGGTCCAGGGGTGTTTTGGTCTTTTTAATTTTAACATTCAAACAGAGTGATTTTTTAACAAAACGGTGGCTAACATGAAAGATGAGTTAAGTATTATATTAAACCTCGGAAACTACTTAAATAATTATGATAAACTGAAAGAATAAGGAATTATTTTTCCAATAATTAATTAACATTATTGAGGTCAGGGCACAATAAGAGCGTTTCTAGAGGGACAAATTATATATATATATATATATTATATTAAAACAAAATCCCAAAAATCCACTGTTCATAGAATAGTGTTATACCATTAACAATTTGTTTTTACAATTGCCATTTACCCCTTCTCTTTGTATCGGTCAGTGACAGACAAAACCGACTACACATATCTCTAAATGCCAGTGAACCACAATCTCTGGGCCTTTCCTTGCCGACTTCAACCTTCTCTTCTTTTCGTATTCTGTGAAACTGCTTCTAGTATATTCTCCTTTTGGTAATGTTCAGTTTTTATTGCATAATCTTCTTTTAATTTGTATTGTTTCTTTTTTCTTCTGTAAGAAAACTTAAAAATACTGGCAGAAATTTCGGGTGTTTTCCTTCTTTTCACAATGAAATGAAAGTTATAGAAATCAAATTTTTTTTTTTTCTTGCTTTGCATGAAACTATCTCTAGCATTCTTGCTAGAATTTATATTTAAATTAATCTGCATATCCTCCAAATATCCTCAATATGTTCATATTCATTGATTCTGAGTTAATTAGATTCTTTGAATACTTATATTTAATTTTTCTTTGCTTTATCTCGATACTCACACTAACAAAGCTTAGACCTAAATTTTTTATGCAAAGCAACTTGCACTTCAATATATGGAAGACTTAGATCGCTGCAAAGTTAAGAAGAAGGAGCACGGGCATGTCATTTTCAACACACCTGTGTCATACCAAGCACACCCGTGCCGTTGCCCTTATTATGGATGTGCTCAGTTACGACTTTGTGTTTTTTTTAGGGTTTTTTATGTTTTGACTTAACTCTATAAATAGGTTATTTTGTATTAAGATCATGAGTATTATTGTATTGATCGTTATTCATATCAATAAACTTCTTTGAGAGTTTAGTCCTCAATTTTATTTGTCAGATCAAACGTCATTGATCAAAACTTTTGACAGAGTATAATCGTTACTTTCCATTCACGTAACTGTTCTGCGTCAATTTTAGTATTCAGGGTTTTAATTATCTAAATTTTTTGTTATGGTTTGAAATTATAACTGTATGTTTGTTTGGTACATTTCTATTTGAGGATTTGATATTTGTAGTGAAAGTCTGTTTGTTTGGCTATTGAAGATTTTTTCCTTGAGCTTTTTATGATTGGAGATAATTAGATTTGTTATTTCTTCTAATTGGGTAGTTTGGCAACAAGTTATACAAAGTTTACACAAATCATGCCTAGAGATTTCAATTACTGAGCTCAGTAGTCTCATTCTTTCATGGAATCATGAATAATAAAAGGAATAATTACTTTGTTTGTTTACTTTGGATAGATTCCTGGCATTTCACATAAAAGAAGAAGAAGAAACAAAAAGCTATTCAGATTTTATAATTGAACAAAATAAAAAAAGATGAAACATGTTACTTGAGCTGCAGAAATTAGGAGTAGCAGCAGTTTCATGCCTCCCCAAAAACAAAACAATAAGTGCTGATGTAAAAGAAAACAAAATTGAAAAAGATGAAATTTTTATGCTTTAAATAATGAAAAATAAGGTCCTTGAAAATATGGGTTGCTGCATCTTTTGCTTTCTCTTGTATATTTCTTTACTATACACTATCTATGCTAACTCTAGAGTTGGCAGTGTTTATGTCATTCATGTTGTCAGTGTTGTTGAGATATTTAAGAAGCAAGGTACATTCTTTGTTTCTTTGATTATTACAATCCAGGTATTCTCTTAAGAGCAAACCAGCTATTAATAGCATTGAGATATTTTCTCTCTTTCTCTAAAACGTATTTGGTTTCTAAGAAACTGGAGAAAAGTGAAAGAAAGTTTTTTTTGACATTGGAGTTCTTTGTTTTTGTTGCGGAATTTAGCGTAGTAATGGATAAATATTTAATTTCGGTAGTTGATGATAAAATGAGAAGTAAAATAATAAATGGAAGAGATACAAGATTTACGTGGAAACCCTCCAATGTATAGAGGGAAAAAACCACGGGGCGAGAGATAGGAGTAAATGCACTATGAAAAATATGGAGAGTTCAGCAAATATTTTACACCCAGCACAAAAATACACTTCAATAAACACCTCACTGACTCAGATGAATTATGGCAAGATGTTGTATATAGTATGATATGGCAAGAGTGTGTATATATATGAAAAGGTGGTATATGAAGAGAGTGGATAGTTTAGAGAAATTCTCTTGGAGGATTTCTCTCTTAGTTGGATGATATGAATTTGCTCCAAGCAAAATTGCCTTATATAGAGGTGTATCACCATGTGAACAAACTCCAAGTCTTCCTTCCATTGTTGAAAATGTGTCATCCTAGTCCAAGTTACCTCACCAACATAGCCAACCAATATTGAATTTCATTAGCCACCCAAAGACTAGTGCAAACCATGAAAAAAATGTGGCCAACCAATATGGACTTAAAGTGTGAATCTTAGAATTCACCCAAAGACTAGAATAAATCATGAAAAACATGTGGCCAACCAATATGGACTTGAAGTGTTAATCTTAGAATTCTAAGGCAATTTTAACAATCTCCACCTTGACTTGAATTCTAAGATGATCTCCTTACAAAATGATGTGCATATTCCTTTCTCGCCATGCAAAGGGCTTTAGAATTGGTGAACACCGATCAAGTCCAAAGGCCAGCTTGAACTTGAGATTAACGGTTTCGTGAGCATATCCGCAGATTATGAGTTTAGCATTATATATGACTTGCCCATCTGCCACAACATCCCGAATAAAAAATACTGCCTCACGGATCAATTGTTTGTCCTTTCGATGATACATCTGATTTTTGGTTTAAGATGAATTAGCACTTTGATTATTCACAAGAATTTACGGTAATCAACATCTCTGGGTTAAACCAAGATCGGAGTAAACCAAAGCCTCTTACCAGATTGGCTTCTTTGACTCCTTCAGTGAATTTGCCAATAGATTCTGCCTCCGTCGTTGACAGTGCCGTTGACAGTGCCACAATGGACTGTAGGCTAGCTTTCCAGCTAATGGCAGAATTGCATAAAGTAAATACATAGCCCGATAAAGACCTTCTCTTATCAAGATCACCTGCATAATCAGAGTCAACATATCCAACAACAATATTCGGTGTCACCTTATTCTTATCAAAAATCAATCCAGTATCGGCAGAACCTTTCAAATAGCGGAATATGCATTTAACTGCTCGCCAATGTTCTTTACCTGGATAGCTCATATATCGGCTCACAACACTAACTGCCTGTGCAAGATCAGGTCTAGTGCATACCATAGAATACATAAGACTACCAACTGCAGTAGAATAGGG